TGTGTGTGAGGTTGGTAGAGGGTTTGTGTGAGGTTGGTAGAGAGTTAGTGTGAGATGTATGTGGAGGATTTGTGTGAGGTTGGTAGAGAGTTAGTGTGGGCTGTGTGGAGGATTTGTGTGAGGATGGTAGACAATTAGTGTGAGGTTGGTAGAGAGTTTGTGTGAGGTGTGTGGAAGATTTGTTTGAAGTTGGTAGAGAGTGTGAGGTTGGTAGAAAGTTAGTGTGTGTTTGGAAGAGAGTTAGTGTGAGGTTGGTAGACAGTGAGAGATGTGTGGAGGATTTGTGTGAGGTTAGTAGAGGGTGTGTGAGGTTGGTAGACAGTTAGTGTGAAGTTGGTAGACAGTTAGTGAGGGATGTGTGGAGGATTTGTGTGAGGTTGGTAGAGGGTGTGTGAGGTTGGTAGAGAGTTAGTGTGAGGTTGGTAGAGAGAGAGTGTGAGGTGTGTGGAGGATATGTGTGAGGTTGGCAGACAGTTAGTGTGAGGTGTGTTGAGGATTTGTGTGAGGTAGGTAGAGAGGTAGTGTGAGGATTTGTTTGAGGTTGGCAGAGAGTTAGTGTGAGGTGTGTGGAGGATTTGTGTGAGGTTGGTAGACAGTGTGAGGTTGGTAGAGAGTTAGTGTGAGGTTGGTAGAGAGTTAGTGTGAGGTTGGTAGAGGGTTTGTGTGAGGTTGGTAAAGAGTTAGTGTGAGGTGTATGGAAGATTTGTGTGAGGTTGGTAGAGGGTGTGTGTGAGGTTGGTAGAGAGTTTGTCTGAGCTGTGTGGAGGATTTGTGTGAGGTTGGTAGAGAGTGTGAGGTTGCTAGAGATTTAGTGTGAGGTGTGTGAGGTTGGTAGAGGGTTTGTGTACAGGTTGGTAGAGTTTGTATGAGCTTTGTGGAGGGATTTGTGTGAGGTTGGTAGATTGTGTGTGAGGTTGGTTGAGAGTTAGTGTGTGTGTGTGAGGATTTGTGTTGAGAGGTGTGTTTGAGGTTGGTAGAGAGTGTTTGTCTGAGTGTGTGGAGAGTGTGTGATGTTGAGTTTGTGTGAGGTTGGTAGAGTTTGGTGTGTGTGAGGTTTGTGTGTGGTAGAGAGTTGTGTGAGGTGTGCATGGAGGATTGGTGAGGTTGGTAGAGAGTTAGTGTGAGGTGTGCGTGGAGGATTTGTGTGGGTTGGTAGAGGGTGTGTGTGAGGTTGGTATCGATTTAGTGTGAAAATTTGTGTGAGGTTGCTAGAGAGTTAGTGTGAGGTTGGTAGAGAGTTAGTGTGAGGTTGGTAGACGGTTTGTGTGAGGTTGGTAGAGGGTTGGTGTGAGGTTGGTAGAGAGTTAGTGAGGGATGTGAGGAGGATTTGTGTGAGGTTGGTAGAGGGGGTGTGTGAGGTTGGTAGAGATTTAGAGTGACGTGTGTGAAGGATTTGTGTGAGGTTGGTAGAGGGTGTGTGTGAGGTTGGTAGAGAGTTTGTCTGAGCTGTGTGGAGGATTTGTGTGAGGTTGGTAGAGGGTTTGTGCGAGGTTGGTAATGAGTGAAAGGTGTGTGGAGGATTTGTGTGATGTTGGTAGAGGGTTTGTCTGAGCTGTCTGGAGGATTTATGTGAGGTTGGTAGAGGGTGTGTGTGAGGTTGGTAGAGATTTAGTTTGAGAGTTTGTGTGAGGTTGGTAGAGAATTAGTGAGGGATGTGTGGAGGATTTGTGTGGGGTTGGTAGAGGGTGTGTGTGAGGTTGGTATCGATTTAGTGTGAGAATTTGTGTGAAGTTGGTAGAGAGTTAGTGAGGGATGTGTGGAGGATTTGTGTGAGGTTGGTAGAGCGTGTTTGTGATGTTGGAAGAAAGTTAGTGTGAGGTGTGTGGTTGATGTGTGTGAGGTTGGTAGAGGGTGTATGTGAGGTTGGTAGAGAGTTAGTGTGAGGTGTGTGTTGGATGTGTGTGAGTTTGGTAGAGGGTGTATGTGAGGTTGGTAGAGAGTTAGTGTGAGGTGTGTGGTGGATGTGTTTGAGGTTGGTAGAGGGTGTATGTGAGGTTGGTAGAGAGTTAGTGTGAGCTGTGGTGGATGTGTGTGAGGTTGGTAGAGTGTGTATGTGAGGTTGGTAGACAGTTAGTGAGGGATGTGTGGAGGATTTGTGTGAGGTTGGTAGAGGGTGTGTGAGGTTGGTAGAGAGAGAGTGTGAGGTGTGTGGAGGATATGTGTGATGTTGGCAGATAGTTAGTGTGAGGTGTGTTGAGGATTTGTGTGAGGTAGGTAGAGAGGTAGTGTGAGGATTTGTTTGAGGTTGGCAGAGAGTTTGTGTGAGGTGTGTGGAGGATTTGTGCGAGGTTGGTAGACAGTGTGAGGTTGGTAGAGAGTTAGTGTGAGGTTGGTAGAGGGTTAGTGTGAGGTTGGTAGAGGGTGTGTGTGAGGTTGGTAGAGAGTTTGTCTGAGCTGTGTGGAGGATTTGTTTGAGGTTGGTAGAGAGTGTGAGGTTGCTAGAGATTTAGTGTGAGGTGTGTGAGGTTGGTAGAGGGTGTGTACGAGGTTGGTAGAGAGTTTGTATGAGCTTTGTGGAGGATTTGTGTGAGGTTGGTAGATGGTGTGTGTGAGGTTGGTTGAGAGTTAGTGTGAGGTGTGTGTGGAGGATTTGTGTGATGTTGGTAGAGGGTGTGTTTGAGGTTGGTAGAGAGTTTGTCTGAGCTGTGATGAGGATTTGTGTGAGGTTGGTAGAGGGTGTGTGTGAGGTTGGTAGTGGTTTAGAGTGAGGTGTGTGTGGAGGATTTGTGTGAGGTTGGTAGAGAGTTAGTGTGAGGTGTGCGTGGAGGATTTGTGTGGGGTTGGTAGAGGGTGTGTGTGAGGTTGGTATCGATTTAGTGTGAAAATTTGTGTGAGGTTGCTAGAGAGTTAGTGTGAGGTTGGTAGAGAGTTAGTGTGAGGTTGGTAGACGGTTTGCGTGAGGTTGGTAGAGGGTTGGTGTGAGGTTGGTAGAGATGTGTGTGAGGTTGGAAGAAAGTTAGTGTGAGGTGTGTTTAGGATTTTTGTGAGGTTGGTAGAGGGTGTGTGTGAGGTTGGTAGAGATTTAGCGTGACGTGTGTGAAGGATTTGTGTGAGGTTGGTAGAGGGTGTGTGTGAGGTTGGTAGAGAGTTTGTCTGAGCTGTGTAGAGGATTTGTGTGAGGTTGGTAGAGGGTTTGTGCGAGGTTGGTAATGAGTGAAAGGTGTGTGGAGGATTTGTGTGATGTTGGTAGAGGGTTTGTCTGAGCTGTCTGGAGGATTTATGTGAGGTTGGTAGAGGGTGTGTGTGAGGTTGGTAGAGATTTAGTTTGAGAATTTGTGTGAGGTTGGTAGAGAGTTAGTGAGGGATGTGTGGAGGATTTGTGTGGGGTTGGTAGAGGGTGTGTGTGAGGTTGGTATCGATTTAGTATGAGAATTGGTGTGAGGTTGGTAGAGAGTTAGTGAGGGATGTGTGGAGGATTTGTGTGAGGTTGGTAGAGTGTGTGTGTGATGTTGGAAGAAAGTTAGTGTGAGGTGTGTGGTTGATGTGTGCGAGGTTGGTAGAGGGTGTATGTGAGGTTGGTAGAGAGTTTGTGTGAGCTGTGTGGAGGATCTGTGTGAGGTTGGTAGAGGGTGTGTGTGAGGTTGGTAGAGAGTTAGTGTGAGGTGTGTGGTTGATGTGTTTGAGGTTGGTAGAGAGTGTATGTGTGGTTGGTAGAGAGTTAGTGTGAGGTGTGTGGTGGATGTGTGTGAGGTTGGTAGAGAGTTTGTGTGAGCTGTGTGGAGGATCTGTGTGAGGTTGGTAGAGGGTGTGTGTGAGGTTGGTAGAGAGTTTGTGTGAAGTTGGTAGAGAGTTAGTGTGAGATGTGTGGTGGGTGTGTGTGAGGTCGGTAGAGGGTGTATGTGAGGATGGTAGAGAGTTAGTCTGAGGTTGGTAGAGAGTTAGTGTGAGGTGTGTAGTGGATGTGTGCATGGTTGGTAGAGGTATGTGAGTTTGGTAGGGAGTTTGTGCGAGGTGTGTTGAGGATTTGTGTGAGGTTGGTAGAGGGTGTATGTGAGGTTGGTAGAGAGTTAGTGTGAGGTTGGTAGAGAGTTTGTCTGAGCTGTGTGGAGGATTTGTGTGAGGTTGGTAGAGACTTTGAGCTTTGTGTATGATTTGTGTGACGTTGGTAGAGAGTTAGTGTGAGGTGTGTGTGAGGATTTGTGTGAGGTTGGTAGAGAGTGTGTGTGAGGTTGGTAGAGAGTTAGTGTGAGGTGTGTGAGGATTTTGTGCAAGGTTGGTAGAGGGTGTGTGTGAGGTTGGTAGAGAGTTAGTGTGAGGTGCATGAGAGATGAGAGGTGAGAAGTATGAGGGTCTATTATGTGAGGTAGCTGGTGTGTTGAGTGTTTTAACTGTGTGTGCAAGGTGAGTAGAGGGAGTGTATAGGTACATTGTATTTGAAATGTTTGTGAAAATCAGATGGGTGCAGGATATACTAGTACATATAAAGCAGATGACCCAATATACATAGCTCTGCCCTTTGTCAAGCAGCTGTTGTGTCAAAAAGGTAGCAATAACTGAAAAACCTGGTAACAAAATTGCACAGACATCCAACACTCACAAATAATGGTTTCTAGTTTTTCACACATGACGTTTGAAGGATTTTCTTTTCATACACTGTTTCCTGTCAAACCTAGGTGTACATAACACTTCACCTGTGTTGTGCTGTCTCCAATGGGATATTTATCTTCGTCCTTGTCAACAAAAGTAGCACTCAGTATTCATGTTTGCATAATCAGGTGTCATGATTGTAAATTTTACACCCCCTGTGAAAATATCCATTATGAAATTCTCAACTCCTTTGGGAGGGTACAATTGCAACAACTGAAGACTTGAAGAAGACTGTCCTGAATCCATGAATGAACACAGTTTCTGATACTTCCATCACAACCTAACTGAAATGTACCTACATGTAGTCTTTGATGAAGCTAGATTTGTCCACATGGAGACAAGATACAATGCCTTGGCCTTTCTTCGGGAGCTCTGGTCTTGAAATATCAACAAGTACAAATAACCAACACAAATTTTATTTCCATAATAAAGATATTTTTATTTCTGCAAGAGTTCATGGCAAAACCAAAAATCTGGTCTGTAATTATTTGAAAGCTAAAGAAAGTGGAGTACAGCTGAATGAGGTTCCCTCTCCCATATATTCCCATAATGGACCTTAAATTCTATTTTCTTTGGACGAGTCCATTTGGAATACAAGGGAGGGATTATGAATATTTAAACCTGCCGTGTATGAATTACAGATCATGGTTTTTAAACTTTGTGTGGCATTCAATTTGAAGGAAATAAATAGTAATCTTTGGTGTAATCAGTGTATTGAACAACAGTCAGCAAAGTTAAAGCTTGGCAATGGAAAATAAAAATTTGGCAAAAAATTTGATTTTTATTGATGAATGATTATCACAGAAATAGAAAACAGTTATCGATTTTCAGTGAAATAAAAATTTGCATATCTTGAACAGAAATAATCTAATATCATACTCTAGATATGGAAAATGAGGAAAAGAAAGTTCTTTGGCGATTATGATGAAGTTGAACTCATTTAATACACAGGAAGCATGTCGTCATAATGTGATTAGACAAAATCCACATATATACATACCATCACTTCAACAGAAATATAAATACTTGCACCTCTTGCACATTACACGTAAATATCAAATTGATATGTCACACAGAGTCTAGCGAGGTTCAATGATATCTAACCCAGTTACTTCCCTTTTTTCTCACAATAACATCAAAGATGGGCTTGAGCTACACCAAAATGTTGACTTGAAGCAGAGTGACATTAATACACGAAATACAGACAGGTATGAACACTATAAACAGAGTTAGATTTATACAACAAATGACCTGGGAATCTTCCACAACATGAAGGAACCTGTATGTTCATTATCTACAAAACTGTACATTGTAATAAAAATATTATCGGCTATTTATGTTATAAATCTGGTTAAACCCTGATCTTCCCTCTCTGATTGTCTTTCTGTGCTTGACATCAAACATAAGAGCAGCAGCTAGCATTACAGAGGTTATCTCCCATGATGAATTGTCTAGAAGAGTTGTCTCCCTTGATATTTGTAACCGCCATTTTGACAATAATGTTTAACTATCTCCAACTGTTGCCTAACACAACTGTGCACTTAAAGTCTTCAGTATTAGTTTCCAAACAAAATGTGTATATGATATTTTGGCTCTCCAATAGAGATTAATAGAGGAATAATTCCTAAAATTGTAAAGTTATTTTCACTCTGTCAAGATGGAAAATTACATTTTAGAAACATTAACTCTGCATATAGTTAAAGTATGTTTAGTCTATGTGGTTTTAAACAAAAAGAGACAATAGGAGACTTGAATGATGCGTTCAGATATTGGCTCAAGCAGTTTGGATATTTGTGTGAGAATCATTAATGGCTACTATTAAGACACAAGAGAGGAAATATGACAAAGAACTTCTATGTCTATATTTTCTGAACCTCTTAGGAAAGATAAAACATTCTTATGCCTTCTTAAGAAAGATTTCAGAAAACAGCATGGAGAAACAAACAAGCAACCTGCCTTATGAATAATGGAATATATATTTTCAGATGGGTTTTGTTATTTATAATGATCAGTGACTTCTGATACTATATTAGACTTCTGGGTACTGAGAATTGAATATATTCTCATAATCTATTTTCAAGTATTCATAAGTTATTCTTCACAGTTATTTTGTAGATGACAATATCACGTTTGAATTTGTCCATGATAAAACTTCATAAAAATGTGTTTCTATGTAACTGACCAAATCACAAAACATTATGACAAAATCATTTGTTTCTTTTATGATTTGTCTCAGTTTACCCAAAAGTTACAAGAAAATATTTTTGAAGGAGTGATTTGTAAATGCAAAGTTTTACAGAATACAATTTGTACTTGCCATGCCATAAATCAAGTGATATATATCACCATGCATCTTTCATCACAGATTGGTCACCCCATGCAGCAACAGTGAAACAAACATCGCCAATTTTGGTGCCATGTAGAGACAGGAACCATAATGTACATCCTGGTCTCTCCATTAGCACCATGCCCAACTGATTTATGTCATGGTAAGTTAACTCACTGATTTCAAATGCTTTGAGAAGATGACATACATAGGTACACACTTAAAGAAAAATGTCGAGCAAACAAAATACTAACATTTGGTATGAGCAACTGTTTGAAAATGATGTTTTATTCCTGTAGCATCAAATCTTGGTTGAATAATACGGTCACGTACAGATTGTTACAGTGGACATCTACATGCTCACCATGTATCTCTACCATGCAGCAACTTCCACAAATCAACAGCATTTATTCTAAATACTCAACAATTTTGCACCAAGTTTTACACAGCAAAAGTTTGCTTATTTTTCTATGATACACGTACAAATTTGAAAAGGACAGTGAGGTCAGGGTGACCCAATTAGCACAGGTCATAGCGACCCAGATGAACAGTTTGGTTCAGTGACTGGGTTCTTCGTTAACATAACAACTGGCTAATACTATAGACCTGTCTATATCAGGACAGATTGAGAGACTAAAAAATACTTTGGTCATAGGCCCTGCCTGACATGGGCTATATTTGAGGCGGTGTGCAGCCTCCACCAGATCTGGAGCGATATAAAGCGTCTGTGCTTCTTTGCTCACAGCTCTGCAGCTCCAGTTAATTTCAATAAGTTAATTTGGAATGCAAGTACATTTTTATGTTCCATCTTAACACAGTTCTTGAAGCTTAAAACATTGAAATGAGGTATTTCGAGTCTTTGTAAAGCTGTTGCAGGACAAACATGTCACCAGTATCAGAGTCTATAAATGTTGTACATACATTCCTTGCTATTTGATTTGACTTGGGAGGGGTTGGGGGAGGGGAGTGATAACACTGATATCATATCCTGGGCAGGGGAAACTAAACCAACGACATATCATTTGTCTTGAGGGAAAATAAAGTTTTTAACTCAAAATCAGGAGCTAAGAATGATTTTTTTAGATTGAAAATATTTTTTTTTCCAGTGGTGCCATGTCTTATATTGGTGATGTCACCATGTTGGCATGGGCAGGAAATTAACAATGGCAAAAAGACATTATGATGAATGTCCTCAGTGACTAGGTCCTGTTAGAATTTACACACTGTAGCACAGCTTCTGGGAACTCTCCAAGTCAAAACTCCGCACTGCAAATGTCAACTAGAGCATTGTGGGAATCTTATTCCCTTGCAGCGTCTGCTGTGAATCACCACCACCACATTCCCAGAAGTCTGGTCTTCCGTTCATCCATCCACCCGTTGAACTGGTCGCGTCACGACATATGCATGTGGCTGCACCGTAGTTTATAACTACAGAGTTACATAATCAAGCACAGCACGTGCACAGCTGCCGGTTTGGCGACGCTCGGCCACAGCCAAATATTCCCTCGCGATTTTGTCCCGATTTTTCGGAACATATAACGAGGATCAACAAGAATCGTCACACTTTTGACAGAACCCGTTTGAGCGTTTATCCAGCGTGAATGTCTTGTATATGCTGTCCCATTCCGTCCATGCTGGCGTGAAGGGGAGGACTTTGGGTAGCGGACATCCCATGGTGAGCCATTCCTGTGGCACCGTGCCCCATCATCATGTGATGTGGATGTCCGGGAATCAGCATTGCTTGCGAGTGCACAGGGGGGCTGAACTGGGACATTTGTGCATAGGACCCACTGACAGGGGGTGGATACATATCAGTCCGGTGCATGCCCTGCACCCCCAACATATCATAGCGCTGTGATCCTTCCAGGTGGGAGTACCCTGCTTTCATGGGATCATACATGTCGGCTCCGTGCATACCCTGCAACCCTGCAACACACACACATAACACTTAGTTCTCCTGTAACACTGGGTGGTAAAACTGTGGTGCGTTTAGGGTTTAACATATGGGGTCTTGAGTGAGTGAGTGTGTATGATTTTACGCTGCTTTTAGTAATATTCCACAAAATCATGGCGGGGGACACCAGAAATGGGCTTCACACATTGTACCCAAGTCGGAATCGAACCAGGGTCTTCGGTGTGATGAGCAAACGCTTGAACCACTAGGCTACCCCACTGCCCCCTCTTGAGTGGTGTATGGAGCGTTAAATTGTGGAGAAATGTTGTGAGGACTGAGTAAAACGTGCAGAGTGGAATATCTTAACTGAGGAGTGTGGAATGTTTAACCATTAATCATATCGGATTTTCTCTCACTTGTTGAAAAACAGAAACTTACAATTGAACATTCACCTACAATTTTAGCAGGAAATCTTGTTATGAAGTTATTGAGTGAATCATTTTACTGAAGAATGTAAGTAAAATAAGCACTGGTAAAATCACATATCTGAATGAGCAAAATTTTAGAAGTTAGTTTCTCCAAAACTCCCATGTGATTACATATTTCCTAGATACAGACATTCAGTATTTTAAACAAGCAATGTATTATTGACAGGGTAATGACACTTGACAACTTGCCAGAAAACAACCACATTGTTCATATTGTACTTACTTCCCATCTGCATGTGTTGGTTGTCAAGGTAACCCATCCCTGCCTCTGGATTGTATGCTGCATGTGCTCCTGGACCTAGAATGGCAGAAACGGACATGAGAAACTGAAGAAGTGTGTCTGGCATCCCCCTCGACAAGATGGACTCTTCCAGAAGCAATAGAAGGATGATTCCATGTTGTATGGGGAAGGTCGGTTGTTCAGTGGCAAATTAGGAAAAAAGATGTTCATGCAATTGAAAAAGAAGAACAAAATCTATTATCAAGGTGAAAAGAGATAATGTTAATCAAGATGCAAATGAGATTACTCTCAGTAATTTGTTATAGGTCACAGACACAAATAATTAATAAATACAGATATATAGATCTGTTGGTTGATCAAATTTTTCTTTGGATTGACAGTACATGGCTGTGCATTGAACACTGTCATAGTGCCACTTTCAGATTGTATATTGCATTTTGATTGACAGGTAAGTGACATCATGCATAAAGAAACAACTAGAACAGGCAGCAATAGGTCAAAGTAGAAAGATTAAAACTTTTCAACATGCAGGTGAGGTAGGCATGCCTTATTGACCTGTTTAGTGTTGTTTTAAGTTTGAAAAAATAACTTTCAAAATATTTCCACTTGTTCAATGTTTACACTTTGACTGTGAAGATGTTGAGAAAATAAAATATCCCAGTATTAACTGCAACTGGTATCAAAGCAAAAGTGCTCAAATGAGCCTTTGCTGCTGCTTCCGAATTTTAGCCCACAGAGGATTTGAATTTTTTTTAACCAATCAGATTCCTGACAATTCTTATCTGCTTGACTAGTGATCTATGATGGTTTACCGTGATGAGAGTGAATGGACGTGAACCTTTAGGCTGTAGTAGAGGGCACACTTGTGAATTATTCCACAGATTGAGTAATCGGTAAGCTGCAGGTACCCTTGTTTAAGCCAATGTAAAAACATCTCTAAACACTTTCCAGAATTAATCACAGATCGTTGATTTCTGTCAATAACGACGACTGAGCTGGGACGGATGGATAGCCAGGGAGACCTTGGCTAATGTTAGTTTTTCAAATGACATTTTAAAATTCTTTCACAAACTGGTGAAAAGACTGGTATGGTGGCTTAGCTGTAAGAGCTCAGTGATGTACAAACTTGAAAAATCAGCCTCACATCTTTGTTAATGGTGCATATGATTTGTCGTAGATGGCATAGTGCCCATATCATCACATGGATTGGAAATTTGATTATTGTAATTTGCCCCACCATTGAAAAAGTCAGAGAATTAAACATCAAACAGTCTGATTGGGATAATTAAATAATCAAGTTAAAACAGACGCACATTCCGAGAAAAACCTGCTTGATTCAGACTCCCACTGGACTAATTAAGCGCAACAATTGAATAAAAATCATCACCACTAGGAGAAGATTTATTTACTAATTACAGCAAATATTGCGACAGTTGTGATATGTACAAGCGTGGGTGTCAGTGGAACTCATAAGCATGTTGTTCCCGGAAGTTGTCACAATGAAATGTACAAGCTTAAATAATGACAGAAAAGTCTACAAACTAACGAGAGAGAAAGATTAGCAGGAACAGCAGGAGGGATACATACAAAGCGAAGGAGTAGGTAGTGCTGACAGAAAGGTGCACGCCAATTTCAGCATGGGTTTTGGAAAAATGTGCACTTTCATGCATGTGTGATTGACAGTTAGTGCAATGCGCGAGCATGTTTCATCTGTGAATTATAAGTTCCCACATCTTGAGTGAGACTCCAATTTCTATATAGCATCTCCACTAATGAGACGAAAGATGGAAATCGTTTCGCTTGTCAGATTATGTTGTCCATTTCATTAAGAAGTTGATGACATGCTGATAAAAGTCATGCATGATTTAAACAGGTATCATAAAATACGACAAGAAAATAATTTTTGCTTTTAAAAAACACATTGTGTGGTGATTATTGGTGGATATTAATTACCCATGATCATGTTACCTGGTGATCAGACCGACACAAATATGTCCAGTTAATACTGATATACAGCCCATGATCAGGGCATTCCATTAAAATGTTATTTCATCTCTGACAGCACTTTTGATTGATGTGTCAGAGGCTATACTTGGAGAATGGTCAATGTATAGTGCAAAGTGCAGCATGCAATTTATGAGTGTACCAGTATCATCCAAAAATGGGAAAAAAGAGACACAGGAAAATGCTACAAAAAGGAAAGAAAAAAGAGACTAGATCTAGATGTTGCAAGCGCATGCACATTTCTTGGAAAGGTAAGTCATCATCTCTTTGAGGGGTGGGTGGGAAAGGGCTTTGGGGGCAGGATAGTGACCTTCACCGATATTAGGTCAAGGTCACAGGTCAAGGTCAGTTCCCTCTCTCCAGTGATCTCTACTCTCTCCTAGTTGTGTTTTGAGCAATTATGTGCTCTCTCTTTTTCGGACCGCAAGTCCGAGTTTTACCTGGGGAGAGGCCGAGAGATTCTGCTGATGACGACTTACGCCTCCGATTTTTGAACACAGTTACCAGCTGAGATGACTTGCCTGCTCTATTTGATTGGTCAATCATTGGTTGAACAATTCTTCGTCTTGCATTGATAAACCTGAAAGCAAAAAACAATATTCCTTGAATAATCTCCCAAATGGTGTAAAGCATCAAGCTAACCCTATCACGCCTTTGTTCTACAAGGCAGCTAGTTTGCCACTGTGACGAAAGTTGGATGAACAAAGGAACAACATATAATACACCAAAATTAACAGGCTAAATAATAATTTTTGACACCCAAATCCAAACATGAAAGGCCCTATAGTAACAGGGGTGTAATTGGATGGTTTGTACCTGGGCCTCCCATCAGTGCATTCTTGTAAGTCTGAAAAGTCTTTTCACAGCAGAAAGTTGCTGAAACCACTGGAGAAGTGACAAGTGCTATTAGAGCTTCATTAAAGTAGCCCGCTACTATTGAAAGTAGGGGTGATAATCAGAAGCAGAAACCTCCACAAATATTTCTTCACAATTTGTATTTTCTAGGCACTCTCATTCTGTCAGAGGCACAATGGTCCACTTGATATTGTGTGGAAGAAAAAACACTCTCCCAGCACATTCTCAATACAAGTAATACAAATAAAAGCCACTAGCCAAGCGAGGTAAGAATGAGAAGCAAAAGTGTTTGAAAACTATCTCCAAACTTCTCCAAACGAGTTCTCATTCCTCAATAATAATATGCCAATGCTCCTTGACAGAAACCTACTAGGGATAATTGGGATCTGTTTTATTTGCTTAGCTACAAAGGCATATTCGGCTGAAGTAGATCGCAGCACTAGAGGGCGCTAACCTGTTAGCATAGGCTAATAGCAACAATACCAATGTTGAGACTCTAGGCGGAGCAAGTTTTTGATTCACAATGCCAATCGTTTTATTTGTTGAACTTAATTTGCTTGCTGGCTTGGGGGTCCTATCACAAGCATCCAGATTTCCCACCTTGTTTCGCCCACAACTGAGGGCTTGCTAATAACAAGGGGCGATATTGACACTGGGTGCTAATTTCATACTGCAGTATTTCCCTTCAGCCCCTCTTTCAATACTTTTTTCATATTTTCTCAAAACACTGATTACAAAAATTTAAATTTGAAATTTGAAACTTAGCTAATTAATTTTTATTTGAAGCTTGAAGATTGTTGTTGAGAGCAGAATGCCCCTAACCACGTCCATAGCTGTCACTACCTTGTCCATAGCTAGCATTGACTTGTCTTATCATATTTGCAATATACAAAGCCTGTGCCTTGTACAAAGCAATAAAGGGCCCCTTGTATAGACACACACAATATCAGACTGTCACACCCAGGCTTACTCTGCCCTTTATCAGGCAAGTGTTCAATAATAAAATATGTTTTACACCCATCCCAAACACATTTCTATATTTACATATTTTTACCACTAAAAATGTCATGCTGATCTGTAAGTTTTAGAAATTAACTTACACAAAAACTGAAATTGTGAACTTTTGTAATGATTGCATTAACACAAAATCTATAGCCTCAAATCTAATAAGTTTTCCTCTGATGCTAGAACTGGGGACAGCAAAGCTTTCAAACACCCAAAATTATCAAAATCATATTTTCTTTGATATCAGAGAAAATTTTCTGACTAAAAACAAATTGAACATTTTATGGGTTAATGCTAAAAAACCTGACATGTGCCACATAGTCTAATGATGAAACAGCTACAGACACAAATGAAATTCTGAGTTACGGACTAGTTCCTATGTGAATTGAAATGAAGGTCTGACAAGGCACATTTGAATAATTGAAATAATAGGGTCCCACTGGGCCTGCATATTACCCTCTCGAAATATTCATATCCCCAATCTTCATTCCAAATAATTTGCTGTATTGCATAATTTTCTGACATTGGTTTAAACTTGGAAAAAGCCAGGGATAATTTGTGTGGGGAGGGTAAATAAAATCTCAATGTCAGATCGGTCAAATTTGTCTTAGACAGTTTTCCAGTCGGAACAATTACCACAGAGTTTTCGTGGTGGGGAAATCCTTGTGGAGAACTCTGTAGTTTGCAGAGTACCTTATGATTAATTGCTGGATACACTATGGAGGCGTCAAGACGAACCTGCCTAGCTTGGCAATTTGTGGCAGTTTGGGTTTGGGATGACTCGTTCTCATTAAGAGGTCAGGGGATGACCTTTCTGACTCCATTTGGAACAGATAGTTTCCGAAGAAATTGCACAAATTGCACCACAGGCCCAGGAGGAGAGAGAGGCTAGGGAAATGGGGCTGACAAAAAACACTCTTTGAAATTAAAATTTCGTTTTTCGGGTGATTAATGGCGGAAGGGGTGAAAGCGATCTCTGAATCCCGGGGCTCTGCCATATTCTTTCCAAGACTCTGCTGGTCCAAATTACATCTTCATTCTCATTAGCCAGGTCCGCTGCGATCAGGTTACGATTTGATGATATTCTTCTCCCCCTCTTGCTCCCCATCCTCAACCCAGTGTAGCCTGCGCTGTACACCACCCTCCCCAACACATGGAGCTGGGGAACTCAGGGGGCCTCCACCCAAACTGCACGACAAATGACTCTCCCCCTCATTTTCATTTGCACTTCAGAATGCCAGGATCACAAGAAATGGCAGTTACGGGCAGGCAACGTCCCATCTACAATAAATTCCGACTCTAATCAAAGCCTCCCCGAGGATGTCCTGAGCTGTTGGAAATTCTCTAACTGAGCCCAACTGATAATTGAAATAAAGCCTTAGGTTGGTGGTACCATTGATGGCACTAATGAGCACATTATCCCTTGTTAATGTAAGCTACATGACCCATAAGCTACAATATTGGCTTTGACATAACACTGGCTCAACAATTTGTGCAAATAAATTTTTCTCCCTCCTGAATGCTCATTAGTGGAAGCGTTCTCCAGTTATGCTAAATGGTGCAAATTTCAATTGAGCTTGTCCGCCTTGATTGATAGGCAAAAAAATTACAGACAACTTTCTATGCAAAGTTGAGTTTTGGTCCAGTAAGGATGTGAAGCTACCTATTATTCCTAGGTCTATTTCACAAATTTGGGGACATCAACATTGTCATGGTATGATAGTTTTATAACCTTTCTATGTGAACAGATAGCTTATATCATTAAGAAACTTTATCCATTTTTCCACAGTCACGTATTTCAAATTCCACCAACTGAAATAAGTTTGTATTGTGTCTGCGGGCTGAAGAGAGAAATGACATATTGTCCATGACAGGGACAACAGAGGTGGAAGGAGTTACTTCCCTTAGGTTATCTTTCAAATGCCTGAAGCACTTCTGCATTTTAGGAATTTTAAAACTAAATCTTCTGAGTAAAAAAATTTAAAAAAATTTAAGAATAAAACCTTGAATTAAAAGACTTTTTAAAACCTTTAAAAATGTTCTAAATCTTCAACATAATTGAAATGCAAATGCTTCTTCGAAGGTGTTCGAATCCTTAAAATCGATATGAGGTTGGGCTAATATGCCAGGATTGTTTGGGTAACCTCAGTGAGTGCTGAGAAACAAGAGAAATGCTCACTGGCAATTATATTGGTCTGGGTATGTTGAATGAAATATTTGATGGCATCGTGACAGTTTCATAACTTCACTGACCTATCCTGCCAGCTTCCTGAGCAATATTAACCCTTCAGGATCCCTCATTCTGTCAAGGTCGTCTCGTTTGGTCATCAGGGCTGGGGCAGGCCCTCCTCGACCTCCAGTGTACCAATCATCCGACAATAATCTACTGAAGAAATTACTGCTTTCCCATGGGACTTGAAGGGCCATTTTCCATGCGAGTTTTTCCTGACGACATTTTGATATTGAAGGATATGGGAGACTCTTCTGATGGCTCTCTTTTAGTCAATTCTGATCAAGTCGAAAACAGTTCCATTTCCCTGTCCTCGTTTCCAAAATTTTGATTCTCTGTAGCGGGTGTTTCTAAATTACCATGATTCTGGCTTGTGAAAAATACCATGGCAAAGACTTCACAAATAGTGCACATTTATACCTTTTTCAAAAATGCTAAATTCTATTCAGTAAAACTGACAATTTTAAAAAAATGGAAAAAAAAACTGTAAAGGAAACTTAAGAAGTAAAATATGTATGAATATGAGAGTTTAAACTTGAGAAACATTCTTTCATTACCTGCACTGACATCTAGAATCTAAGAACCTACATTAGGATTTCTTTCCTCTTAAACCTGTCAGCATTATCAGCTTGTCATCTATCCATACTTGCTTAAACTGTCATAAAATAATGAATTGCCCTTGTCGGAAATGAGTTGAAATTCCCCCCAGAGTTGAAAAAAAAATACTCATCATTCAAAAATCTAGTAATTGTGATTTTTCTTCAAGATTGTCAAATCTATATGAGAGTATGAAATTCTAGCAGACACAACAATTCAATTTCATTCAAAAATGACCTAAACTTGAAATGGAATTGCATAAATTCTACCGACTTGATTCCCAACCTAACAGAGAAGTCAGTATGGATTGTACTTATCGTACAAGATAAATGACTTCTTTCATGAAAGTATCCACACATGAGTTTCATCCGCCTTTCCCAGTGAAATCCTGAAGCTGTACATATTGTGGAGAATACTCCTGCTCTCGTGTACCCCCTTATCACCATGTGGGGGTCTAGCCCCAGTTAATAGGGATATAGCAATTATTTTGACTTATAATGAGCCGACCTCCATCTAATGGCGGACAGGTGGCACTGATCGTAAGAACTTCGCATCAAGGATGTCTAACTTCCTTGCCTAGTTTTGTATTACTATCATTTTCTGCTTTCTCCGACTACACGTCCAATTTTCGACTTCCTTCGCCCTTTCTGAGCTATTACGACCTTCTTTTTCCCTGTTCCCTCATAGGAAGCGCTGCATCCGAGAGGCAGTGTTTCCTAGCAAGGAGAGGATATGGTGTTTTCTTTCCAAATATGAAAAAGTTGCTGCTTATGGATGAAACGAGGGCCCATTTATCAATCAGTTTATATTCCGGCTGATATTTATAGGTCTAAGTAGAGGTATTACTATGATCAATTAGGGCTATGGAGATGATGTTATCTTTCCGGATCCAT